TTGGGAAGAAGGCACTGCTGAAAGATTTGGAAGTGCTACCACTTTGGCTCCGCCGATTGGAGTCATTTGGTGCTGTTGCTACTGTTGAGATTGAATTGAAGCTGGATGCAAACATAGGAGCTGATATCATGGCTGGAGTAAACGATTGGAGTCAGTTGTCGTTCTTCGTGCAACATTGAATTCTTTCTCTAGGAAGAAGGCACTGCTGAAAGACTCAGAAGTGCTGCTGTGGCTCTACAGATTGGAGTCATGTGGTGCTATTTCGACTGTTGAGATTGATTTGGAGTCAGTTGTAAACACAGGAGCAGATATCTTGGCTGGAGTAAGTGGTGTGGCATGTGCTAGAAGTGGTGTGTAAAAACAAAGAGGAAAAAGAAAACCCCAGAAGAAAGACATAATTACGTTACATGGAATTACAAACAATCGTATAGCTTTGAAGTATATTACTAGATGATAGGAATGACATCCATGAGTTACAAACACTGCAGCCTTATTGCATGCCAATATTTCAATATCTCAGTTCAATTTATACGAAGAGAAATGATCAACATATAAAGTAAAGCGTTCGAATGACAGAAATTCACACAATTTCAGTATCCATTTTATTGAGCTAGAAAATATGTGGCAGAGGTCAAGCAAGAGAGGTGGCAAAATGGAGCTTTTAAGGAAAAACATCTCTCACCTTCCTTCCACAATAATGCCACTGAATTCAGTAATGTTTCATGGAGAAGGCATCAGCTCTATCCCTGGATTAAGATCGTTCTTGTTCTTGTTATCACCATGCTCAGATCTAGTTGATGATGTGTTTTCAGCCTCGATGCTGGCTGTTATGTCCTCAAAATCCCAGTCAGTTAAATAACTTGGTTTTGATGCAACAGGGCTCACTTCGATATCCCCAGCAAGCATAGCTATAACCCTTGACATGGGTGGTCGCATCATTGGTGTTGCTTGCGTGCACAGGAGTCCCACTCTTATCATTCTTAAAGCTTCATTTTCATTAAACTTCACTAGGGTTGGATCCACCAGACCAAGACATTGGTTGCTTTCATACAGAGTCCATGCCTAGAAACATTGTATCAGTAAATCTCATGCCCAAGGAATGCATCTATAAAGAAGGAAAAAAGAACAGAGTTTCTTTCTTTACCTGTTCAAGAAGATAGATCTTGTCATTGTCCTGGCTGTTGTCAGAGTTTGGTCTTCCACTGACAATTTCCAAAGCAACAACACCAAAGCTAAAAACATCTGCCTTCTCAGTGAGGTGGCCACGCATTGCATACTCTGGTGCCAAATAGCCACTGCCAATATTGCAATTAAGCTATTAAATTTGCATGTTCAAGGTTTATTGATATGATCTCTCTATCTATGATACTAAGTCTCTGGATTCCTTTGATGGTTTGATGCTATGAAACCTAATAACATATATGAGCTATAATATAATGCAAATAAGCATTTAGATACTCTTTCGATATGGTGATTCAAGAAGCTTACATAGTTCCTGCAACCCGGGTGCTGATGTGAGTTTTCTTGTCATCATATAGCTTTGCCAATCCGAAGTCAGATATTTTTGGACACAGCTGCGCATCAAGCAAAATGTTACTTGCCTTCATGTCTCTGTGTATGATCCTCAGCCTTGATTCCTCATGAAGATAAGCTAGTCCTCTTGCAGTTGCTAGGCAGATATTGAACCTGGTTGGCCAATCAAGATGCAAGTCTCTTTTTCCTGCATATGTGAGGCAGGAAATGTTATGGAGAGTGATTAATTGGTGAAGAAATGAATTCAGATGTAGATATGTTTCATTTCCTGCATAAAGGCTAAAAGGGAGCAAATAACTTGTTCAGTCATACCAAAGAGTGCTTGGTCAAGGCTTTTGTTCTCAAGATACTCATAAACAAGGAGGCATCTGTTCCCTTCGATGCAGCATCCGTATAGTTGAACAAGGTTGCGGTGTTGCACCGCAGATATGGTAGCAATCTCAGTAACAAATTGACTCTTCCCTTGGTGAGATGCTACTGAAAGCTGCTTCACAGCTACTACCCGCCCATCAGAAAGTTTACCCTATAATGTATTTAAAATGCTTTATTTAGTAACATTGTCATATAAATCTTCGATCTCATTAAAAACAGATGTAAGATTTTAAGTCGATAGCTTACCTTGTATACAGGACCAAATCCCCCTTCTCCTAACTTATTTGAGGGACTGAAGTCATCTGTTGCAGCTCTCAACTCGGCATAACTGAAGGTGTTTGGTCTGGGTCCTACTCCAAGAAGCCCTGCAAATTCAAGAGAAGTTGGAATAAAAGCTGCTGATGAAATAGGAGATAATTATATAATGTTCAAATTTTACGAACACTGGTCCTAGGATTCCGCATCTCAAGTTTGAAGGCCATGAGCCATTGTAAAATTTCTAATTCTTTTTTTTTTTTTTTCCTTTTCATATATTAATCAGAAAATTGATGAGTAAATAAGAATAGGTTAAATGCCAATGTTGGTCCCTCAACCTTACAGTTTTGCACAATTTTTGTTTTCAACTTTCTTATGTACTTTTTTTGTCCCATACCTATAAAAATGCACTTTTTTAACCATTTTGTTAATTTGTCTCTTAAGTCTGTTCAAATTAGGCTAGATATCAATTTTGGTCCCTCAACTTTAAAGTTTTACATAGCTATTGTCCTCAACTTTTTATGCATTTTTTTTGTCCCTTAACTACAAAAAATGTACTTTTTTACTCATTCAATTAGTTAATTCGTTAAATTTGTTTAAATATACACATTTTTAGTTTCTCAACTTATAATAACGACACATTTTTTGTCCCTCAACTTAAATGTTCAAGGACTAAAAATGTGCATAAAAAGTTGAAGAATCAAAATTGTGCAAAATACTAGAGTTAAGGGACCAAAATTCACATTTAACCTTCAAATAAAATTTACTTCCTATATATAATTATAAAATTTGTTCTTTTGAGCACTAGAAATACTGGTCCCACGTGAATGCATTGCCACAAGATAGAGTAGCAACATTGTCAAAGTTGAAAAAAAAAAAGATCAGTTTCTCTCTCCATCAGGGAGATCAATCCTCTTAACTACTGGAATATCTCCTCCTTTAAAAACCCGTTTGTCCACCCTTGTAATAAAGAAGAAAATAATTATGTCTAAAGATCAGTTAAGAGCTTAACCTAGAACTTGGTTTGGGGAGCCTAGGACTTCATTCAGCAGCACTGGGGCCAGATCCAACATAGTATATTACTATGAATCAGTTTTATGAATAATATCATGACTTTTTCTCTTTTTTTTTTTTTTTTGTACATCAGAGAATTAGTTACTTGGTATCACAGAAGTTTTAACCTTTAACCTTGATGCTAAATCAAAGTTTTTAAGTTAGTGAATATTAATTTGACCAAGCTCTTGTTAGTAATAGTATCATGACTAATTAACTACCACTATTGCACTTTTTAGGACTCTTACCATTCTCATCATCATCATCATTTCTCCTTCTCGAGTAGAAGACTACAAATAACAATATCAAGGTGAAGGTGACAACTCCGACAGGAACTGCAATGCCAACAACCAACCCAGTACTATTCTCTTTTGGTGTGAAACTATTCTCTTTTGGCGTGACACCTGATCAACAGGTTCTAGGCATTAGCAGTGGCAAACAGAGATAGGCATGACTTAATATTTTAAACAAAGATTCTTATTTCATCTCATTTCTTACTTGATACCACGCTGATTGCTGAAATGGATGGTCCATAGTCACCGAATTCTGGTATGCAGCAAGTTCCCTTACCAGCCCAGAATAGGTGAATTTCAAGATGGTTCTCTGTCACAGTGGCAGTGAAATTCTTATTAATTGCTCTTTCAACCCCACCTGCCTCTTTTGATATGTCAAAATCCTTCAATACAATTGTTCCCTGGAACAGTTGATTATGATTAAAATCTGAAAACCTAAAACTTAAGTTTGCAAATTTGTAATTTTAGAAACATTTGTTACATCGAGGACTTGAATAAAATGATCCATAAATGCAATCTGGACAATGGCTTACAATTCTTATGGAAATTTTACCTGAATATAAATATCAAAAACACGCCTTCCCAAACTATCCCAAACTTGTGTGCTTCGATCTCGGAAAACTGTTTCTGCAAAAAGCAAGTTAACTGTATAAGGTCCATTCTCTAGGCCTAAGCCATAGTATCTGAGTGATCCAGCGGATATCCTCGAAGTTTGATAAAGCTCCGGTGAGTTCGTGTTTCTCACTAGTGCCGAGGTGTTTTGCATGGAGGGTTGATTACGTCTGCCAGAAAACAAACCCACATTGCTAACGGCCCATTTCTCAGTATGGATTACCGAAAATGATGCTATGCCAAGAGAAGAGGTTTCAGCCTCATATGTTATCCCATCCACAATCATATCTGGGCCACCACAGTTGATTGTGAAGTTTGCATCTGCCAACATCAATATTAAAATATGCTTGGCAAGTTACTCAAGAAAAATAATTAAAATTCCAGCAACGGAAATTCATACCCAGTAGATTACTGAAGCCGTCATTTTATAACAGATTAAAAACAGCATGTAAATTTTAACTCCTTTCAAGTTCTAGCTGGACAAACTTGATGTCTTTTTACAATTGCCATTGATGCATGCATATTTCAATCGGCCAAGCTCAGAATTATTGATACTATGAAAGTAGGAATGGATAATTTGTCACTAAGAGTCTAAGAACACTCTAAAATACAATTGTCTATGCCTTTTCCTCTCTACTTGAAGTTTCTTTCTCTGATTACAGTGTAATGCCAAGCATAAGCTATCTCAAGGCAATGCAGCAAAAGATGCTTACAGTGTGGAGAGTTCCTGTTGCACCGGAAGCTTCTTTGAAGGCAATGCAATCTAGGTATAACACTGAAAATAAATAAAATAGTTATTTCTTGTTCGTATTATGAAATTATAAAAAGACTGCCTTTCATTGTGGAAAAAATTGCAACCAATTTTCTTATGCCTTTAGATTAAGGTGGATAGAAGAGTAAAACTCAGACAAGTAAATCTCTGACAGATATTTAAGATCTACAACTCACCTTATGTTTGAACTGTCAAATGTGAAGTTGTTGGCTACTAGATTCCTACATGATATGAAGCAACAACACAAATGAACATCTGTCATACCAGTTGTAACAATCCGACATTCATGAATTTAAGTGACATACTCTTTCTAGAAATGGTATACATAGGAGTGTACAACATTACCATCATGGTTCTTGATAACCAAAAGGACTTCCAGAGGACTTTTAGTTGAGCATTGGAATTTAGGTCATCGGCGCAGGTTAGGTACCAAAATGAGAATAAATCTAGGTCACTGGCTCTGACAAGGATTTAACGGAGATGGTAGGTGTAGATCTTGAACTTTCTTCTTTCATTTGTATTGCATTAATAATGTGACATCAATTAAAAGAAAAAAAAAGCTCAAGCTACATACAGTTGGGAGATTGTGTATACCCACGGGGGAAAGGTTCCAGACAGAGAATTGTAAGATAAATCTCTGCATGAGAAAGTAGTCAAAGTACAAAGGGAGAAAGTCAGCAGAAGTTATTGATTCAAATAAAGAGAAAGCTTAGAATGGTATGGCTTACATATTCATTAGGTTTTCACTTTTTTGGCTAGGGATGGTACCAGACAGATTATTATTTCCAAGAGACCTGGACATTGACAGAATATAATACAGTGATTTTTTTTTTTTTTTTTTTAATTTTGATGGTTAATACCATCAGGTTAATGGCATTAGGATGACCAGATAAACTAAGGATGAAATTGACATTAATCAAGATTTTGAAGCATTTTCTACGACTTTACAAGTATGTAAGAGAGCGCATTTTGAACAAAGCACTTGGAATTTGGCCCGTCAAGTTATTGAAACTCAAATCCCTGGTAAAGAACGAGGAATTAAATTAATATAGGAAATGGAAGCAAATTTCAGACAACATATTCATCAGGCAAAGTGTGAACATATCTTACAAATTAAGTAAAGATTGGAGTTCTGCAATATCAGATGGAATATTACCAGTAATTAATGCATTTCTTAAAGCTCTACAGGAAAATAAGAACAAAAGAAAAGAGTAAAGTTTGTTAGTCAATTAACTAATAAAACAAACACAACAAAGACAAAAGAAGATACAGGTTTCTGTACATGATTAAAGAGTTTTTACTTACAAGTCAGTTAAATTCTTTAAATTTCTAATGAAATCAAGAGAAGAGCTCACATTGGATAAACCAATGATTCGCCTGCATGATTATAGATAAGAATTGAAGAAGTTATCCATTATACATACTTTCAGAATCATGCAAACGGAGAGAGGGTAAATGGTAAGTGAATAATTACTTACAGAACATTTAGAGAGGTTAATTTAGAAAAACTGGATGGTATAGGACCTTCAAAGTAGTTCCCCACGACTGACCTACAGAAATATTTTGCAGGGTTAAAAAGAACAAACTAGGTATATCTCGCTGTTGAAGAAATGAGGCAAAACTAATTAAAAAAGAATCTAATATATCAAAATAGTTCGTGGGAGAAAGGCTCCCCTCTCACAAAGTGAACAGTA